ACTCTATTTTGGACTGCATTCCATTTTTATTAATATTAAAAAAACTGTTAAAACAATTAATGCAATACATAAAATGTGAGTTTGTATTTAATTATTTATTATTTTTTTTTTTAGAAAAGATTAATATATAGAATGACAAAAAACCCCTTTGAGATAAAGGTTTTGTTATATATGTTTCTTTAAATTGAACACGAGTACGTGATCCTTGATCATAATCCTTGCAGTTGACAACACAACAAAACATACCTAGAATTTTTATAAGAATAGAAAAAAATATTTCCCGGTAAATTGTTTCAAAAAAGTGTTTAAATCTTTTATAATTAGTTTTTTTTAAATTTCATCCTTAATAATTATTCTAACCGCAGCATATAGTTTAAAAGGATACAATATTGAGGATATTAATTTATTGAATTGTGTCTTTTTTTCGTAATATTTCAAGATAACTAATTTATAGTAAATTTTTAACATGTTTTTATAGCAGGGTATGATATTAGACACGATCACTATATTGCTAGCAAAGAAAAACACATGATTTCAATATATTAAGTACATGTACTCCTGTTCATACACACAAGTAATAGAGCTAAAGATATTTCGGGAAAGAATAAACATTTGACCAGTGACCACTGAGTGAAGCCGATGAAGCGATAATTGTCTCAGAGTTTAAGATTTCAGCATTGGCCATACATAAACAAACTATACGGCTCTGTTTCATCTAAACACATTAATTCTTTGACACACTGGATTATTCCTTTGAGCCTCGTTGAATGTGTTCTGCTCTACTCTAAAACCATCAGAATTAACAGTCCTGAGCATCTAGTGAAGCACGGATGATTTTTGGATTGAACTAGGTGAAACACAGCTATTGTTCTCTTTATCAAATCAATTAATGTTTGATTAAAAAAAGCAAAAAAGACACAGACTTGGCATATAAAATATACCAGGTCTGTCCAAAACTTTTATTCAAAATAGAGTGTACGTCTCTTATCAATAATGTATAGTTAATACATGGACATGTTAAATCAAGCCAGTTTACAAATTAAAAAATATACCCAGTAATACAAGTTAAAAACACTACATAAATATGTAAATTTTTCATATTTTTAGAAAGTATATAGGATAAGTTCAGTGGCAAGGGGGAGGGGGTATTTTTTAAGGAGCAAATTCTAAATCAAAGTTTCCTGTGTTAGGAAGCCAAAAAAAAATAGTATGGGCATGGACCCCACCCATCCCCACTCCCTCTCCCCAAAAAATAAATAAATAAATTGAGATAAGTAAATGATGAATAATAAAAAAAAAACAACAAAATACAGTAAAACACGATATTTGCCAACACACTTATGTTGAATTGAACTACAGTGAAGTGCTTTTATTCCCTGTGACTTAATTATGTATTTTTATCTTCATAACGAATTTCGCTCATAATAATGCAAAATCATCCGTCGATCCCTGGCACTGCTCTTTAAACATGTTTTACTTGTATTCAACATAATTAATCTATTTCCTGCCATGTACAGCATTTGATGACATTAGGAATTCATAGAATTTCTAATTTTCCCAACTAATAATGAAAATTAAGACTACTTACTTGATTTGTTTAGGACGTGTACTTTAATCATTCCTCTGAATTGTTGCTGCAAGTGGTGTCATAAGGGTATTCGTTTTGTTTTACATTGAAATCCAGGGCATATCATTTTGTCTAAAATTAAAGGAAATTTCTCATTTTAATTTACTGGTATTTGAAAGTGTCTGACAGCTAATATTTCAGCAGGATTGATCAACTCTGACTAAGTTATTGATAAAATATTTTATTTTAGTTTTTATGCAAACAATGCATACAAAGAATTTTCATAAATTGATATTATTTGCATATATACCTTGATAAATCCTTAACTGTGAAGAACTGCAACATCCTGTTTTATTCAACAATCTTTCGATGTGATCGATGAGAATCTTCTGAATTGAAATCGTGAATATTTTGGTAGGGTCAAGAGATGGATGTGTTCAAGACTGATAACACACCCAAGATTATCAGTGTGCAGTGTTTTGATTGACATTTCTTCAGTTAGTGGCACCACGTGTTTCCATTCAAATATGTATGGAAGGGTCGCAGTTGCACATGTGAACAGCCATCAAGTAAATGCAACTGTCGTTTGAAGGGGAATTCGAAATTGGAGAATTTATACATTGATATATCTGTGTGTTATACTGTGATAAAGTTATATAATTAGTTTTGGTCAAAAACTTGAGGTGCGTGATGAAGTAAGTAGAGACATATGCATGATTTTCGAATGTCAATTGATGTTCAACTTATAGAGAATTTACTGGTCAATGCACTGACTTTTCATAAATAAATCTTGGATGAATACTAAAAGAGCTAAGGGTAACAATACTTTTCCTGAAAGATTTTTTCATTTAATAAAATTTCAATTGTTAAAGAAAATTAGCATTTTTTAAGTGTAAGAAAGCATTGCTTTATACAACAATTTTATATCATAATGGTAAATGCAGATGTCCAGGGGAATGGTATAACTTTTTTGATCAATTCCTTGTTGTAGATTTATGTCTCTTGCATGATTCAAACAGTTGCCCTTTTTCTAATTTAAAATAAAAATAAACATTTACTCTTTATTCAGCAGATATACATTCCTATATCCAGATAAGTGACCTAATGACCTCAAAATAAAATGTGATCATGTATACTCCTAAAGGAGTGGTACCAATGAGTTTAATGTATGTAATAATAAGAGGCTTTTCACAAAATTGGGTGAAAAATGATTTCCTAAAATATCAATTGTCAAGAATGACACGTACTTGATCTTGTGATCGAGTTATGACCCCCTAATCAAAAGTGGTCACATATTTCTTAGGAGGAATACAGATCTAGTGCATTAAATTATTTTTCAAACATTAGAATCTCAAGTTACTTAAATATTGAGTAAACAATACTTTTCTATTTCTAGATCAATTTGAGCCTTGTGCTTTCACCTTGTAACCAAAAATCAGTAGTGGTCTTTATTCCTTTGGGAGTACCAGTACACTAAGTTTGATGTCTGTAAACCAAAGGGTTCCCCAAATTTTAAGCAGACATTATTTTTCCATGTCAGAATAGTCTCAACCTTGAAATTTGACTTTATGAAATCAACAGGATTATCTACACTTTTACGTTAGGGAGTACCTGGGTGTACAGCTTTCATCAAATCTCTGGTCATAACAAATGCATCTGAAATTCAGAGAGAGGAACGTTCCTCAAATCTCTGGTCATACCAAATGCACCAGAAGTTCAGAGAGAGGAACGTTCCTCAAATCTCTGGTCATAATAAATGCATCTTAGTTTAGAGAAAGGAACGTTCCTCAAATCTCTGGACATAACAAATGCATCTGAAGTTCAGAGAGAGGAACGTTCCTCAAATTTCTGGTCATAACAAATACACCAGAAGTTCAGAGAGAGGAACGTTCCTCAAATCTCTGGTCATAACAAATGCATCTGAAGTTCAGAGAGAGGAACGTTCCTCAAATGTCTGGTCATAACAAATACACCAGAAGTTCAGAGAAAGGAACATTCCTCAAATCTCAGGTCATAACAAATGCATCTGTAGTTCAGAGAGAGGAATGTTCCTCAAATTTCTGCTCATAACAAATGCACCAAAGTTCAGAAAGAGGAACATTCCTCAAATCTCAGGTCATAACAAATGCATCTGTAGTTCAGAGAGAGGAATGTTCCTCAAATTTCTGCTCATAACAAATGCACCAAAGTTCAGAGAGAGGAACGTTCCTCAAATGTCTGGTCATAACAAATACACCAAAAGTTCAGAGAGAGGAATGTTCCTCTATCTCTGGTCATAAAAAAATACATCTGAAGTTCTGAGAAAGGAACGTTCCTCAAATCTCTGGTCATAACAAATGCATCTGAAGTTCAGAGAGAGGAATGTTCCTCAAATTTCTGCTCATAACAAATGCACCAAAGTTCAGAAAGAGGAACGTTCCTCAAATCTCAGGTCATAACAAATGCATCTGAAGTTCAGAGAGAGGAACGTTCCTCAAATGTCTGGTCATAACAAATACACCAAAAGTTCAGAGAGAGGAATGTTCCTCTATCTCTGGTCATAAAAAAATACATCTGAAGTTCTGAGAAAGGAACGTTCCTCAAAGTTCTGGTCATAACAAATGCATCTGAAGTTCAGAGAAAGGAACGTTCCTCAAATCTCTGGTCATAACAAATGCATCTGAAGTGTAGAAAGAGGAACGTTCCTCAAATACTTAACAAATTCTTCAAAAAGGAAACTTGTAGAGACACATATAAGGATTTTAAGACCAAAATGACTTCAGATTGTAAACCTTGGGTCAAAAAAAAGGGAATTTTGATTTTCCCTTTTATTTTTGGATTGTGTTATTGTTAAGATATTAGAAAGGTTGAGATCTTAAACTTTTACGCGTATGTGTACTTGTACATATTTTGACGTACACGTACACGTTTTTTTAAATTTGTCTGTTGAGATTTTTATGACGTGAAACATGTACCTGTAGACCGCAATCGGTGTCTCTGTTTCAACTATATAGATGGTTTTTTGTCGTCAGTTAGTAGACAAAACTTGAAATAAGTGCTCGTAAAAGTAAACATCCTATATAATGTATTACAATTACATTTTCACACTTAAATTGGTTAATTTTTATTATTAAAGCTACACGTTTTCACATACGTGTAGATTCCATTCTGCAAATTTTACGAACATGTAGCAATCTTGACGTCACTAAAATTGATGACGTTATACACACAAAATTTAGGTTATTCCCCTACGAGACGTACACTTACACGTTTGAAATCTCAATCTCTCTATTTTAACTTCTACATGATTGTTTGAATAAAAAAATTTCTATGATGGCGAATTAAAATATCATTTTCCAATCTATCAAGGACAGGAATTTTAAAGAAAATTTTTCAAAACATTGCAGTATAAATATATTTTCTTTAAGGTGATCAACTTAAATCTCTGTCTTACGTTGAACTCTTTTTTGAATCCTTCACACTCGTTTTTCTTGTTTTCTCGGATGTAATCAAACAGGTCGGCCACTTTGATAGGACTGCTCTGTTTCTTGGTGTTGACGTTGGCATAAATTGGTTCATTCAGGTTGGGATCTGTGTCGTCATGGGGATCAGACATAGAGGATTCTGGTTAATAAAATTAATATGTAATTAAATCACTGACATATAGGCATGCCTTTAAGTCTCTCCTTCATTCAAATAATAAAGTGTGTTACTTTCTGTCCTAGCTTATAGACCAGAAAACTACATTTAGAGAGCAATAATAATGTGAAATCACATATTTTTGAGGGATCAAATTTTCCTGGTTTGAGGAAAATGTATTTGTTCATTTGGATTTGATTTCATGGTGAAATAATTGTTTAGTAGAAATATATGTCAAAAGTTGCATTTCAATGGTGGTTATAAATTCATAGGTCTCCACATACCTTGAAATCTACGAATATTAACCCCTATGAAAATAAGTGATTTCACAGTATTACAGTTAACTGCCTACCATTAGCGATCAGCTGATCCGTTTCTTTACTCTGCGTTAGTTCCACAGGTCGCTTCTCTTCATCTTGTCCTTTTTTACCAAACGTTAGAGTCTGTAACTTTCTACGTCTGTAAAATAATGTAATAGTGCAATAAAACCATGATAGATTTATGTACATGTATGTAAAAAACGTAAATTTCAAATTTTAAATCTTTACTGCTGAACTTAAAATTTTAAAATAGTACACAATCCTTAAGAAAATAAAACTCTGTGGGGACAGCAGGACTTGTACTAGTATCCTCCAGTGAAAATCCTATTGATAAAAGTAATATTTCCTGCGTGCCTTGTAAAATTTGTCAAAAGTAATTCATCTCGCCAATGTATTTAACCCACCTGATGATGATAACGACGATTACAATGATGGCTATAATAATATAACCCCCTCCAGAGATGACACCTACCTGATGACGATGACGGTGATCACAATGACAGCTATAATAATATAACCACCTCTGGAGATGACCCCTACCTGATGATGATGATAAAGTTTACAATGACGGCTATAATAATATAACCCCCTCTGGAGATGAAACCTACCTGATGACGATGACGGTGATCACGATGATGGCTATAATAATATAACCACCTCTAGAGATGACACCTACCTGATGACGATGATAATGACTACGATGACAGCTGTAATAATATAACCACCTCTGGAGATGACACCTACCTGATGACAATGATAATGACTACGATGACAGCTGTAATAATATAACCACCTCTAGAGATGACCCCTACCTGATGACGATGACGGTGATTACGATGATGGCTATAATGACCAGTACTGCCACCACCCCTCCAATGACACTCCCCATCGATGTGTTGTCTGATAACTCCACCGGGACCAAATCTTTAAATTCGGATAAAATGTTTAATTATCATCATATGTCCTGACTGCACAAATCAATCAACACTTAGGCAATGTCTATAAAGGTAGATTATTCTAGAGTTCATAGTGAGCAGTTTATTTATTCTTTCACCACTACAACTCACCTATACACAGGTCCCCAGTAAATCCCTCCTCACACCCCCCAGTACAAAGCCCGGTCTCCTTATCACAGGGGGTCATACCGCGACACGCCCCACACTTACTGGAACAGTTCTCTCCAAACGTAAAGTCATCACAAGCTGCCAATTAAAAAAACAGAATCAACACCTCTCTAAGGGAAAAGCTCTTCAAGAGGTTCAGGAATTGAAATAGCAATTGTGAATATAAGAACTATTTTAATTCAAGCCTTTGAGGATTATAAAATTATAAATTATCTAAAGTAAATGAATTGAGCTTTGACTAAAAAATCCAGATGGCTTGGAATGAAATTACCTATAAGAAAGACAAAATTAAATTATTTCGTGAAAACTAAAATCTAAGAGTTACTCTGCTGTCATAACTTCAGATCAATAAAGCACAGAATCCCACACCACACCTACCACCACTGAAATGTTTGGATCCTTACCTTCCAGGCATTCGAACCCCTGCCAACCAGGCTTACATCCACCTGAGCACACCCCTGTCACAAAATGGCAGCTTCCTGTCATACATTGGCCACATGTCCTGCTACAGTTGGTCCCAAAATATCCAGCTTCACATTCTGTAAATGTCATGTTAAATATAGGATTTATCTTTCACAAAAAAAACAACATTGTAATGTGACAACAATAGGACATGAAAACATTAAATATAACAAGAAATCTGTGAGCCAATGCTCACTAGTAATACCCCCGCTCTGATGTAAATCAGGCTTGGGGTCAATTACTTTGAAATGTAATTAATTACTTTCAAATACATTGATAATTTTGTCAGTTACTTGCAATTACAATTACATTGATTTTTTAAAATGTAATTAATTACTTTCAATTACTTTGACAAATGTAATTAAATACATTTCAATTACTTGAGTTTTATTTAAAAAAAAAATTATTTAAATTTTCTATAGTGAACTTTTTTTTTCATTTTTTTGTTCTTTGGAATGAGAGGGGCTCACACCTGTACAAAATTAGACCTTTACCAAATGCCTTGGGCAGTGTGACACACTGTATAAACAATTTAAACAATTAAAATTATAAGACATTTAATTATTGTACAAACACAAGCCCATGCTACACCAGTATGGTGTATGGCAAGATCAATTTTGTTACTTTCTCAAATCCATATTTTTGAAAGAAATAGATATTTCTCACAAATCCATAATTTTCTATCTTAAAATGAATAGAATATAGGTAAATCTAAAAAGGGGTGTAGTTAGTCTAATAACTGTAAAAACATATTAACTATCTTAACAATCATTGTTATTTGCAATTGGCAATAGGTAGAATTGAAATTTTTAAAAGTGGGAATAGGTACTAAGTATAAACTTACCAGAATAAAAATTATGTATCAGTAAACAAAAATTTTATAGACTTTCATTTTGAAAAAAGTAATTGAAATGTAATTGAAAAGTAATTGAAAATACATGACATTTTTTGAAATGTATTTAAATACATTCAATTACTTGTAATTGAAGGCAAACTCAAATACAAATTACTTCCAATTACTTTGAAAAATGTAATTAATTACGTCCAAGTACAATTACTTTATTCAATTACCCCATCCCTGATGTAAATAAGCACTATCATATTAATATACATAAAATTCAATTACAGGCAGCTGCACAGAAAAATATGAAGATGACATGCAGATTAATTATATCAAAATTTATCCCACCGTATGGCATGCCTCAACAAAGAGTGTAATAAAATTTCAAGCATCTGCTATGAATAGTTAATGAGATAACTGCGACAAAGATTTGTTACGAATGAAACGGACAGACAAACAGGAAGTTGACATCGGATTTGAACAAAAATGTATCCCACCATATTTCATGCCTCAGGGGAGATTGTGTTAAAATTTCAAGCATCTACCATCAGTAGTTGCTTAGAAAACTACGACAAAAAAATTTGTTACGGACGGACAGACAGACGGACAGACACACAAGGGCAAAACAGTATACCCCCCTCTCCTTCGGAGCGGGGGTATAAATATAATGTTATACTAGTACTGACCTGTTTTACAGAGAATTCCTGTGTAGCCGTCCAGACATCCCCCCCCACACTGACCGGTCCGGAGGTCACATGGAGGTCGGCGACACGCCCCACAGGTCTCCAAACAATTCTCCCCATACTCTCCATCAGCACAGCCTACAAAACAAACCGTACATAAAACACAAACAATTCACACAAACCCTCCATCAGCACAGCCTACATAATAAACTGTACATAAACAACAAACCCACAAACAATTTCTCATTAGATCTGCATTTGTTCCCCTTACCTGTACCTCATATGATTCCCCACTTACCTGTTTACACAGTTTCCCCTTTCCTAAACCTCAATAAATCCCCACTTACATGTTTTACACAGTTTCCCCTTCTCTGTACCTCATTAAATCCCCCACTTACCAGTTTTACTTAGTTTCCCCTTCCTGTACCTCATTAAATCCCCCACTTACCAGTTTTACACAGTTTCCCCTTCCCTGTACCTCATTAAATCCCCCACTTACCAGTTTTACACAGTTTCCCCTTCCCTGTACCATATTAAATCCCCCACTTACCAGTTTTACACAGTTTTCCCTCCCTTGTACCTCATTAAATCCCCTACTTACCAGTTTTACACAGTTTCCCCTCCCTTGTTCCTCATTAAATCCCACCAATTACCAGTTTTACACAGTTTCATCTTCCTTGTACCACATTAAATCCCCCACTTACCAGTTTTACACAGTTTCCCCTTCTCTGTACCACATTAAATCCCCCACTTACCAGTTTTACACAGTTTCCCCTTCTCTGTACCTCATTAAATCCCCCACTTACCAGTTTTACACAGTTTCCCCTTCCCTGTACCACATTAAATCCCCCACTTACCAGTTTTACACAGTTTTCCCTCCCTTGTACCTCATTAAATCCCCCACTTACCAGTTTTACACAGTTTCCCCTTCTCTGTACCTCATTAAATCCCCGACTTACCAGTTTTACACAGTTTCCCCTTCTCTGTACCTCATTAAATCCCACATTTACCAGTTTTACACAGTTTCCCCTTCTCTGTACCTCATTAAATCCCCGACTTACCAGTTTTACACAGTTTCCCCTTCTCTGTACCTCATTAAATCCCACACTTACCAGTTTTACACAGTTTCCCCTCCCTTGTACCACATTGAATCCCCCACTTACCCGTTTTACATAGTTTCCCCTTCTCTGTACCTCATTAAATCCCCGACTTACCAGTTTTACACAGTTTCCCCTTCTCTGTACCTCATTAAATCCCACATTTACCAGTTTTACAGTTTCCCCTTCTCTGTACCTCATTAAATCCCCGACTTACCAGTTTTACACAGTTTCCCCTTCTCTGTACCTCATTAAATCCCACATTTACCAGTTTTACACAGTTTCCCCTTCTCTGTACCTCATTAAATCCCCGACTTACCAGTTTTACACAGTTTCCCCTTCTCTGTACCTCATTAAATCCCACACTTACCAGTTTTACACAGTTTCCCCTCCCTTGTACCACATTGAATCCCCCACTTACCCGTTTTACACAGTTTCCCCTTCTCTGTACCTCATTAAATCCCCACTTACCAGTTTTACACAGTTTCCCCTTCTCTGTACCTCATTAAATCCCACACTTACCAGTTTTACACAGTTTCCCCTTCTCTGTACCTAATTAAATCCCCGACTTACCAGTTTTACACAGTTTCCCCTTCTCTGTACCTCATTAAATCCCCGACTTACCAGTTTTACACAGTTTCCCCTTCACTGTACCGCATTAAATCCCACAGTTACCAGTTTTACACAGTTTCCCCTTCTCTGTACCTCATTAAATCCCACACTTACCAGTTTTACACAGTTTCCCCTTCTCTGTACCTCATTATATCCCCCACTTACCAGTTTTACACAGTTTCCCCTTCTCTCTGTACCTCATTAAATCCCCCACTTACCTGTTTTACACAGTTTCCCCTTCTTTGTACCTCATTAAATCCCCAACTTACCAGTTTTACAAAGTTTCCCCTTCTCTGTACCTCATTAAATCCCCCACTTGCCAGTTTTACACAGTTTCACATTCTTTGTACCTGATTAAATCACCGACTTACCAGTTTTACACAGTTTCCCCTTCTCTGTACCTCATTAAATCCCCCACTTACCAGTTTTACACAGTTTCCCCTTCTTTGTACCTCATTAAATCCCCCACTTACCAGTTTTACACAGTTTCCCCTTCTCTGTACCTCATTAAATCCCCCACTTACCAGTTTTACACAGTTTCCCCTTCTCTGTACCTCATTAAATCCCCCACTTACCAGTTTTACACAGTTTCCCCCTTCTCTGTACCCCATTAAATCCCACATTTACCAGTTTTACACAGTTTCCCCTTCTCTGTACCTCATTAAATCCCACATTTACCAGTTTTACACAGTTTCCCCTTCTCTGTACCCCATTAAATCCCCGACTTACCAGTTTTACACAGTTTCCCCTTCTCTGTACCCCATTAAATCCCACATTTACCAGTTTTACACAGTTTCCCCTTCTCTGTACCTCATTAAATCCCACATTTACCAGTTTTACACAGTTTCCCCTTCTCTGTACCTCATTAAATCCCCCACTTACCAGTTTTACACAGTTTCCCCTTCTCTGTACCTCATTAATTCCCCCACTTACCAGTTTTACACAGTTTCCCCTTCCAGCCTGCTGAACACTCTCCATCACAGTCCCCCGACTCAAAATCACACGGTCCCGATTTACAGTTTCCACACTTGGACACACAACCATCTCCATAGTTACCGGGCTCACAAGCTGTCGTGTAACAAGATGTGCATGATTGATAAAGATAGGTACTCAAAGATTACGAAGCTCACCTCGACGAATGTTATCAGTGTAAGTAATGCAAATCTCACATCATATTTTCTTATTATTAGTATTTATCCTGACAACAATATTCTTGCAAGTTGTGTCTAACCCCTTACATGGCATATACACATTTCTACACATGTGTAGTGTAAACAAATATTCATATCTTTGTTAATACTGCAGATATCAAGGACTTCAAGTTCATTGGGATTGATCTGTTCCCAAAAATTTAACCTGGTCTCTTGTTTGGAAAATATAGGTCAGATCCAGCATCCTAAGCAAGTCTGGTAGTGTCCATCCCTAGATGCATCATCCATGCAAGTTTGGTTCAGGTAGGGCTTATAGTTACTTGGGAAAAGACCTGCTTCTAAAACTTTAACCTGGGATGCCGCACTGATGCCAACACCAACGCCGGATGTATAGCATAAACTCATCTCGACTTCGTCGAAGTGAGCTATAAATGATACACAATAGACTTGACGAACATTTTATACATGCATTTCACAAGAACACATTTGAATATCCTTCTTGAATAACAGTACATTATACTCTGACATGTATAATTGATCTTCATAGAACAAAGTTATTCATCACTGATAAGTCTGAATTTCAGAGTGTCAATAAGGGAACACATTTCACAGCTTTGTGCATTCATGAAATACCAGAAAGGACTTTATGACTGACGTGTTTCACAGGTTGTACTGAGTCTAAGTGACTTACGTGTTTGACAGGTTGTATTGAGTCTAAGTGACTTACGTGTTTGACAGGTTGTATTGAGTCTAAGTGACTTACGTGTATGACAGGTTGTATTGAGTCTAAGTGACTTACGTGTTTGACAGGTTGTATTGAGTCAGTTTGGATGTGACTTACGTGTTTGACAGGTTGTATTGAGCCATCCAGGATGACATCCCAATGGACAAGTCCCTAGACGAGTACACGAGTCCTCATTCTTACAATGACACTCGAACTCACACATCTCACCAAACCTTCCAGAATCACAACCTACAACAATACATTACATACATACCAGTAAACATCTCCCTGAAGCTCCTGAAGTAAGCTTTTAACAATTATTACAATGATATAACCTATTTCTGCAATCTGAGTGACTTATACATGATCTTCATTATATGCACTGTATGTATAAGAAGAATATCATATGGTTAAAAATTTCATATGGTAAATATACTTTGGTTAATCTCATGGAATTGCATGTAAGACAATCAAATGGTTATTGTCTAAGTAAAATGTCATATGCCTATTAAAACCTCCCATTGGAATATCACATGACTCCCTAGCCTAAACTTACCTCTTAATGGAATATTACATGACCCGAAATATTCATTTTTTTCCATGAAGTTGGTGAAGCACCATGGTCCTTTGCCTTCCAATGCCTCACTTCTTATTTTGAAGTTCAGTGGATTTCGACAAACGGCACCAGGGATTGCCTGATCGGGAAAATCTGATGATTTCAATCCATACATTTTGATAAATATGGTGTTGTTCCATGGAACACATTTCTCTCCATCACCAGTTCTGTCTGTGTTCCCCTGATATCCATGAGCCTCCGACGAGTAACGGAAAACCGATACTGGCAAAACCAAATCAGGTATTAAATGAAAAATATAATTCAATTTTCCTTATTTTTGTCTCAAATTCAAAACCTACCTATTCAGAATAAATGTTTTGACTTTCTGCTGAATTGCTTAAGATACTTAAGTTCAATTTTTTTTTTTAATTACTCGCAAAATTACATAAGCAGATGAGAACAGCAACTTTCAGATTTACATTTGTTGTAACTGTTGTAAAAACAAAAAAAATAATATCTGTATTCACTTCCAATGTGTATCATATCTATGACATCTTGAAATTCTTTTTCTTATTATCATATAAAATACATCGCATGCCTATACATGCTAAGCAACTATGATTTTGAATGTTCAATATGCTAACAATTTCTTATGGAGTATTAATTTTTTAGGGGTGGGGATGGTACTTTTTTTCATGACTGTTTTTTCACTGGAATCACTATTGTCTTTTACTTACAGAGCTGACATCCAGGGCCGTAGCGGTTCTGTTTACATCCTGAGGGACAGGCCCCGGTGACTGGGTCACAGCTGCCCTCGGCACAATGACACAGAAACTTACAATGCCATCCAAATGTACCAGACTCACAAACAGGCACTGAAAAATAAAAAACAAAATTAACTTAAAAAATACAAGTTAATCTGACTTTGGAAAATTAGTTTTTAATCATGTTAATAGCTAACTTGTGAATTACAAGAGGCCCAGGGGCCTTGAATCGCTCTTCTGATAAATTGTACAACCTATCACTTGAATTTGAAGCCTCTAATCCTAAGTATCCTAAGACCCAAGTTGCATCAACTGACAAAGTTTGATGATTCTTAGCCAATTAGGACTGAAGATATTTCAATAAAGCTATAAAAAACCATGAGTAGGTCACAGTGACCTACTTTAAGATTGAATTTTTCCGAGGACTCAAGATGCATTAATAGACAAACTAAGATTGAAGATTCTAAGCCAATAAGTATTTGAGATATTCAAAAGAAGGTCACCTTAACCTACTTTTTGGTCTACATTGTTGGAAAACCCAAAATGCATCAACTGACAAAGTTTCATTATTCTAAGCCGATAAATACCTAAGATACTTAAATATATTAGCCATAAAATGTCTAACGTAGGTCATCGTGACCTACATTTTAGTTGACATTTTTCAGAGTCCCAAGATGCATCTGCTGACTAAGTTTGATAATTCTAAGCCAATAAATACCTGAGATATTCAAAAGTAGGTCACCGTGACCTACTTTTTGGTCGACATTCTCTGAAAACCCAAGAGGCATCAACTAACAAAGTTTGATGATTCTAAACTGATAAATACTAGAGATATTTGAATAAAGCCATAAAATGTCAAAAGTAGGTCACCGTGACCTACTTTTTTTTTCAACATTCTCCGAAAACCCAAGATGCATCAACTGAGAAAGTTTGATGATTCTAAGCCAATAAGTACCGGAGATACTGAAATATAGCCATAAAATGTCAAAAGTAGGTCATCATGACCTACATTTTGGTTGACAATTTTCAGAGTCCCAAGATGCATCTGCTGACCAAGTTTGATAATTCTAAGCCAATAAATACCTGAGATATTCAAACGTAGGTCACCGTAACCTACTTTTTGGTCGACATTCTCTGAAAACCCAAGAGGCATCAACTAACAAAGTTTGATGATTCTAAACCAATAAGCACTAGAGATACATAAATATAGCCATAAAATGTCAAAAGTAGGTCACCGTGACCTACTTTTTGGTCGACATTCTCCGAAAACCCAAGAGGCATCAACTAACAAAGTTTGATGATTCTAAGCAAATAAGTACCGGAGATACTTAAATATAGCCATAAAATGTCAAAAGTAGGTCACCATGACCTACTTTTTGGTCGTCACTCTCCGAAAACCCAAGATGCATCAACTCACAAAGTTTGATGATTTTAAGCCAATAAATACCAAAGATACTTAAATATAGCCATAAAATGTCGTAAGTAGGTCACCGTGACCTACATTTTGGTCGACATTTTTCAAAGTCCCAAGATGCATCTGCTGACTAAGTTTGATGATCATAGGTCTGAAGGTAATCAAAATATGCCTTTTAAACAATTTGAAAACAAATGCCTGCAAATTTCTAAAAGTAGGCACAGTGACCTATTTTCTCATAAAAATGTTTTAAGATCCCAAGATGCAGCAACTTACAAGATTTGATGATTCTAACCCTCTCAGTGTCTGAAATAATGGGATTAAATGTTTTAAAAAGGATAAGTTATAAAGTTCAAAAAGTAGGTCACAGTGACCTACTTTTAAGTTGACGTTGTTCAAGGACCCAAGATGCATCAACTGACAAAGTTTGATGATCATAGGCCTTAAAGTGTCCAAAATATGCCTTCAAATCAATTTGAAAACAAATGCCCGCAAAATTAAAAAAGTAGGTCACCGTGACCTACTTTTGAATTAACATGATGTGAAGTCCTAAGATGCATCAACTTGCAAGATTTGATGATCCTAGTCCTTATAGTAAGCAAAATATAAACATTTTTATTAATTGTAAATTTAGGTCAACTTTGAAGTGACCTTGAGACCACGCCCTTTGCCCCAGGGTCATGCCTTGAACAATTTTTTATCTTCAACATATCCTGATCCTTGTATGTAAGTTTGGTGAAAATCTGCCTGGTGGTTCTGGAGAAGAAGATTTTTTAGCAACCAGTACTTTTGGTTTTGTTTTCCTGATTATCTCCCCTTGTTTTAGGGTCCCAACCCTTATTTTAGTATTAATGGTAGCCCTTGGGGCAAGGATACCCTGTGACAAATTTGACACTGATTGGCCAAGGGGTTCTTGAGTTATGGCCCATATTCTAAAAAGTTAACGCACACCGCACAAATGGCCATAGCATTAGCTCTTTGAGCCTTTGGCTCAGAAGAGCTAAAAATGCTTACTGGAAAGATTATTTTAAGCTACACCTTTGTGTCATCTGAGTCAAAATTACAATATTATAAGCAACTAGATGCTGTCATGAGACAGTAATACCCGCACTAAGGTGTTTGCCTCTAAATGCACACTTCTTCATATTGGGCTTTACCAAGGAAAAAGCAGGGGCGGATCCAGCAATTTTTGAAAGGGGGGGTTCCAGGGTTATGCCCCTCTAACCCCCCCAATACATACTCTCAAGCAAAGATTCACAGACTTGTATGGAAAGATCTAAGGTTGTGGTAAATACTATCTATGTTTTATGTCTTTCAAAAAAAACGCGTACCCCCATTCCGAACAAAATAAAAACAAAGCAAAAAAAAAAAATCAAAAATTACGGAAGCCTTAAAATTGAATGGATTCGTTTCACTGTTGAAGATTATAAAGAATTTTCTTTAAGAATTTGAAAAACCTTTTTGGGGTGGGGTGCGGGTGGGCTTTAAAACAAAGAGTTACATGTTAGTTCGTTCAATTGATCAAGATATGATAAAAACGGTACATATTTAGCAAACACAGCCAAAGATCGCGGGAATCTAATATCAAATGCAACCATTCTCTCATAAAAAATATAATAGAGAAGGTGATTGGAGGAAACTAAATGTGTGAGAATCTATCTATTCAATAAATAAGACTTATAAATATATAATCTAAGAAAACTTTTTATCCTCTCTCTCTCTCCACTTGGCAAAAAATAAAGGGGGGGTTCCAACCCCCGGACCCCCCCCCCTCTGGATCCGCAAATGAAAAGTCAATATAATTCAATAATTTACATAATACATGTATTCATCAAATTTAGCATAATATGCTCAGGTGACCATGTAGCTGCAGATCTGGTTTTATATATTTGTCTTTGATCATAACGCTACAGATCCCCATATGCAAAAAAGGTGCAATTTACGCGCAATATTTTTTGAGCACTTTTGGGCAGAATTTCTCCACTTTCTAGCATTAGGCAATCAACTACCTTTCACTCCCTAATTTTAGACACATTCTCTGGCCAATATGTATATTTTGTCCACCTCCCAGTCATTTATAGTAATCTCTACAGGCAATAAACTCGCTTGATGTGAATTTTCAGCAATCTAACAAATAATTTTAATCAAGCGAGTTTATCTCGAGTAGAGACGACTATAAAGTGTTGGGAGATGTATAAAATACACAGATTGATTAAATAATGTGCCTAGAATTAGGGAGTGAAAGGTAGTAAATTGACCGATGCTGGAAAGTGGAGAAATTCTCCCCAGAAGTGCGCAAAAAATATTGCGCCGTAAATTGCACCTTTTTTGCATTACAGGATCTGCAGTCAAAGACTAATATATAAAACCATAACGCTACAGACCTGCAGCTAGTGACCATGTGACCCATGGGCCTCCATTTTATAGGTATTTCATATTCTTAATTCATTACCAGTCGGAAATTAAACTACAGAATTAAATTAATGATGTAAATTAGGTTTGATAAAAGGGGGGGGGGGGGATTTTTGGCACATAATTGGAACTTTTTAAATCTATTTTCTCATATAGATTAACAACAAATAATATTATTCAAATTAGTATAAAGCGTTTTTGATGATTTTTTCAATATGTGCAAAGTTTATTTATATTTGATTAGGCAGAAACTTCTTGAAAGCTGCCATATACACAATCAATTTAATAGTCAACCCCCACCCGTCTCCCATCAACACACACACACAAACACACCTTATTTGTCTGTTTTTGCAAATAGGCCTAGATTGCAAAGCTAAAATAAAACATCTTTTGTAAATGATAATTTTCAATTTGTTCTTGCACTATACATGTATCTGAACACCTGCATCACATTGGGCTTGCGTCACGTACCCAACTTAAGTACTAGTTTTACCATTGGCATTATCATTTTAGATTTCACTGCACGTGCAGTAGGATACTAGTGTGCATATTTGCATATATGTCGGTAGGAATTATTTCATTTTGTGTTTTAACTGGATTATATTTCATGAAGATGACAGGGCCTAAATAATAACAATCGGTAAGTACAAGTTTTGGTATAGATTTGGGTAAAATAGTCTGAAATGCAAACGGTTAGGTTAAAGTTTAAAGGATCAAAGGTCATCCGATGCTACAATAGACGAATTTCACATTCTGAAGAGTTATCCCCCGTTATCAACGTTACATTCAGTTACAAGATCCAGAATTTTTTTTTCTTGGAGGGACGGGGGGGGGGGGGGGGGGGGAGGGGTAGGGGGGGGGGTTCCAGACCAGAATTTCCTGAGAAGCAAGAAATAAAAAGAAATTATGGTTTGGTCTGTTTTCTTGGGTGGAGGGACACTTACGGCATCCAAAGTCATTTTTTATTTCCTCCAGTACATATTATAGTCCTGCAAATTCCGGGGGAAAGGGAGGGGGGGGGTGTTGAGGGGGCGATCTCCCAATCCATTTCCCTGTCCCTGTAATGACAAATGATCATGTGACTCCTAAATAGTAGGAAACTTTATCCATTTGACTATACATAATATTGTGTTATTATGTTATGTAAATTTAATGGTATAAAGGTTATGAACCCCTAGAGGTCATCCCCACTCTCCTAATGAGCTGGAAATGTTCACAATATGACTGCAGTAAATTAAATAAAAGCGCATCAATGATAAGATTACTTGACATTTTATTCATGAAT